ACACCAACCAGCCACTGCCAGCCAGTATATATTACAGAAAGATCAGTATGTGCAACTTCCCCCTAGGGTGTATCCACCTTACAAAGTGTGTCAGCATTTGGATGTAGTATTAGAAGGGCCACAGGAGGAGTCACCAGGTACTACAATATGGGAGAGACAGGCAAATGGTCAAGGGAGAGACGAGGTACTCGTGACAGTTAAAGGAAAGGATGGGAAAATAACAGGCACAAGTTTAGACCCTACAGTTTGGTTTATGGGCCCTAACAATAGTTTAGCCATACATACATCCTCACCGTTAGGGGAGATGCAGACATCAAAGGCAGCTGGAGAAGGTATGCGAGTTGTTAGATGTGAGACAACGGTATGAGTTTTATAGATGTGTATTGTATCACTTTGGTATAAAGGGACTGCCCCTTTACCAGTCACTCAGAGAACTCTGCACGACTGAAAAGCTGTGTATGACTTCTCTCCATGCTACATGAAATAAAGAATTCTTTGAAGCTACTCTCCGGTCTCCAGACATCTTTATTGGGTCCTGCCCCGTTCCCACTACCACAATAGCCAGAGAAAAAAAGTGACGTTATAGCAGGTGAACTATGAACAATAGTTACATAACAAAATAAGAAGCTATAGAAAAAAATTTCAAATATTAAGGAATGACTAAGAATATACTACACATATACCAGCACAGTTTAAGGATTTTTTTTCTCCTTTGTCTGATGACAAAAAAACTGTTGTCAAAAAAAAATCCAACAGTTTCTGCTGCCAGAGTGGAAAGATTACATATTTAGCAGAGCAGCACAAGTTTACCATGGTGATCTAGCCCAATTAAAAGTGAGCCAGCTTCATGGTACTAGAATATTTGAGCCGAGCCCAAAGTTAGCTGGATAAGCTGCTAATCTCATGCTGTGGACAGAGACACCCTCTCTACCTTTAAGATTAGTCTTAAAACTTTTGTCATGGTAAATCAATGCACAGAGAAAATTACTGCAGTGCCAAGAATCTTTTATTGAACAATATTATTGAAATATGATTGAAAGGGCAGGATACAGGATCACCTTGTTAGCTTTTAGTCTCTCTCTGCAGAGGAAGTCAGGTAGTCTGCCACATCTTCTCTCTCCCTGTACCTTTCTGCAGATAGTCCTGGCTCTGGAGCTGTATGTTTCTGATCAGCAGTCACTAGCCACATCAAGTTGCCTAGTGTTTGTGTGTTTGTTGTGTCCTGATGCTTTCCTTTTCTCTCTCCTCTATTCGCTCATCCTAACCAGCTGAGGCAGGAGCTGGGGTCTGCTGGAGGTTTCTTCCATTAAAGGGAGTTTTTTCTCCTTACTGTTGCAAAGTGCTTGCTCAAAGGGTGTTTGTTGGGTTTTTCCTCTGTAATACTACCGTATATGGTCTCAACCTTACTATGTACAACCTGAAATGAGGAAAATTGGGACAGTATGTAAAATCAAAATTAAAACTGAAAATACCAATTTGTAAATCATTTGTGCCCTGTATTACATTGAAAACAATACAGCAGCACATTATTGGATATGATACCTCATCAACTGTTCAAAATAAATGCTCACTTTAATTCTGATGCCTGCAACACATTCCAAAATAAGCTGGCACAGTAAAGCATTTACCACAGTGTGATGTTGCCATTCTTTTTCACAACAGTTAAAAGACATTTAGGGACCGAGGACACCAAGTGATTAAATGTGTCATGTGTCACTTTGTCCCATTCTTCCTGCAAACAAGTCTTAAGGTGCACAACGGTCCTGGATCTTCGTCGATGCAATTTGCATTTCAAAATGCACCACACATTCTCTATTGGGGACAGGTGGGACTGCAAGGAGGCCAGTCCAGCACTCACACCATTTTCCACCACAGCCAGACCTTGGTAATGTACACTATGAGGTTTTGCATTGTGTCTTGTTGAAATATGCATGGGTGTCCCTGGAAAAGATGTCATGTTGAAGGCAGCATATGTTGCGCCAACTTCTCTCTGTATTGTTCAGCATTAATGGAGCCATCACAAAAGTGTAAGTTACCTTTGCCAAGGACACTGACACAACCTCAGACCATGACAGACCCTGGCTTTTGCACTTATTCCTACTAACAGTCTGGTTGGTCCTTTTCATCTTTGGTCCAGAGCACATGGCGTTCTTTCCTTCAAAAAAAGACCTGAAATACTGATTTGTCTCACCAAAGTACATGTTTCCACTGTGTGATGATGCTCCATCCCAGATGCCTCTGAGCCTAGAGCAGTGCTTTTGGCACAGTATAGTTTTAAATGACATTTATGGATGTAAATATGTATTGTAGTGCCAGACACAGGTGTGCCAAAGTAATCCTGAGCCCATGTGGTTATATCGCTTAAAGAAGGAGTGATGATTCTTGATGCAGTGCTGCCTGAGGGATCAGAGAGCATGGTCATCCAGCTTAGGCTTGCGCCCTTTACACCCAGAAATCCCTCCAGATTCCTTGAAACTTTTAATCATGTTATGCACCACAGAGGGTGACATATCCAAATCCCTTCCCATCTTTCTTTAAAGAACATTGTTTTTAAACAGTTCAATAATTTTCTCACGCATATGTTGGCAAACTGACGGTCCTCGGCCCATCTTTGCTCCTAAAGGGCTCGGCCTTTCCTGGATGCCACTTTTATACCAAATCATGATTACAATCACCTGTTGACATCACCCGTTTCAAATGGAATCATCATTTCATTATTTTACAACATTAGGAGCCTTGAAATGCAACCGTCCCAACTTTATTTGGAATGTGTTACAGGCATCAGAATTGAAATGAGTGTTTAATTTGAACAAAGAATAAAGATGGTGAGGTGTCACATCGAATAATGTGCTGCTGTATTGTTTTCAAAGTAATACAGGACACAGATAATTTACACATCACTATTTTCAGTTTTAATTTTGATTCCACATACTGTTGCAACTTCTTCTGATGTGGGGTTGTAAAGTGATTGTTGTGAATTTGCGCTATACAAGTAAAATTGAATTGAATTTTCATTATAAAAATTTTTCATAATTACACCAAAAGTTTCAGGTTTCTCAACCTCCATGTTCTCATCTAAAATCCTGATTATAACAATATTAACACTATGTAGTTACTGACAGAATGCTTTCATGATTAGGGTTAAATTTGTGTGGTTCCAACATGAACCCACTCCTGCAGCATCTCAAGGGACAATCACTCATTTCCCTGAACCCACAAATAATCAGAGAACACAATAGTAAAAAAAAAAAAAAAAAAAATCAGGTCTCTTATTTCCTCATTCACCTACTGATCGGCCCATATTAAATCTGATATAAGTTACTGTAAATATTTACATCATCATTCAAGGCCCTTCACAAAATGTATTGAGCTCATCCTTAAAAAGTAAGCTATTTACATTGTACAAAACATTGCATACATGATTATACATACACAAAAACCCTCCTTCCCTTGCAAAAAACCAAAACAGAAAGGCTGTCATATTTAATGCTGTTCTCCCCACCATAAGCTGTGTATTTCTCACCAGTATTCCCCTCACCCAACAGCTCCCACTTTCAGCCAGGCAGTTACAAAATCACAGGTAACTGGTCAGCTACTAAATTACTTTTCAAGATTTAAGTAAGGCAGGCAGTTCATATGTAAGTCCTCAGATAGTCAGATCAGTGTTTTCTCAAGTTTAAACACCTCTCAACTGATGAAAAATAAAGCCAATGGAAATCAACAGAGGTAAATGGTAACAAATTAACTAAAATACAGTGTATGGGTTACATTTATTCATGTTAGTGTGCATTTGAAAACATATTCAAGGAGAGCTGGACCACTGCTGGCTTTTCACATGGCACAACGGTCTTTTTAAAGCTACAGTATGTGCAGGACATGAGTATCAACTCTCTTTGTCACAATCCTTGTAGTTTTCCTTTTGTCCAGGACAGACTTTTGATACTGTGTGGCAAATCAGAAAACTCTATTAATTATCATCAAGCTACAAGGGGTCTCTAATGGGGGCTACTAAAAATGGCTTTCACAGACACTGAAGTGGAAACATGGGAAGGATAAACAAATACAGTTCAACAGGTGGGAGAAAAAGAGGGGTCTTATTTACAGCTCTCTGGTGTCTAAGGTCATGCTCTCTACCTTCTGTCTACTTCCAGAGGAAGACATATGTAGTTTGACATGGTGACACTGGTCTATTGGTTATTTAAGCAATGACCCAACAAAGCAGGTTTCTGCATGTTGATTGTATACATACAGAAAACAAGCCAGGTCTTTTAACACTCACGGACAACAGGATAGCACCACCAATCTACAGTCACAAAAAAACAAAAATAAAATCAATAAATAAAATACAATATAAATTCAAAAGAACTTATTGCTCTTTTGTATTCACACCTGTTATAGACATTTGAGTATTATCCCTTTGATATATCCAATGAATGTTTTGTTTTTGAAACCTTTTTTGAACTCACTATTCCAGCCTGAAAGAACCAAAAGCAAGCATTATGTTAGCCAGTGTATGAACAAATTAATCTATCACCAGTAATGACTTTTTGGTAAGCGAGCACATCAGTTTGGCTAACAGTTGACTAAAACAAGTTCTAATAAGAGATTGGCTGTCCAATACTTAGTGTTGCTGCTATTCATAAATCAGTGTTTTAGAGAAGACCTGAAGGTTGAACAGAACAGAGATGCACACATTGTAAAAACAAACACCATAACAGACTATGTTTCCAGTTCAGTGTTTGGCATTCTGAAAAACAGCAGCTTCAGCCTTCACACCAACCACTTGTTCTTCCATCCTGAGTTTGTGTTCATATAACCGAGGACTAGAGGGAACAAACTTTGAGTTTTGGGCAGAAGCTGTGAATAGTGGCTCTTCGATATTTTTAAATCTGACCATTCTGACTCTGTGGTTTTGGAAGGTGAATTGACTTTCATAACAAAAACTTTTTTTAAAGAACAGTATCAGCTTATATTATGGGAGGATTTATTGGTGCCTCTTCATCAGTATGCATGTCCTCATATAGTCCCCACCAGCTGTCTTAATTGTACGAGTTGTCCAGTCTTCATACAGCCACTAAGTTGTTCATCTCCCATTTTTGAGTGGTTTTACTGGTGTCACAGTCTGATATGAACACTTTGTGGAGCAAGTCAGAGCGGTCCAGACATTTTCCTGTTAGAACAATACAGAAAAACATTACTCCAAAGTGTTTGCCAAAACAGTGGAATGTTCAATTTTACCACATCTCCTCTCATATAGATCTCTGAAAGTTGGAACTGATCCAATGGGTGTTTGTGGTCCAAGCACCTTCACTATCTCACCATATCATACCAAATCTCATCATGCACAGTGCATAAATGGATGCAGACTAAACCACAGTGTGTGAGGGAAAACCATTTTTACCAGTATGTTGTGTGCAGAACTAGCATTGTAGATACTGTGGAAGACTGAATACCAGATTATTTGCAGTAGATGGCAATGTGAACTGTTCCACTTGACACATTGAATATGTACAGAAAATATTAATTGCTTAGAAAGCTTCATTCATCATCGCCATGCAACAAAAAAGCAGATCCATTTGAAAACTGTTTATGTATCAGTCTCTTCCAACTATACAATATTCACACTGGCAATTATTACTTCATTCAAATATTCAATAAATGTAAACATATAAAATGTGTAAACAGACAATTATGTAGAATACAATATGCCACATTAAGTTACACATATTGCCTCGCAGGTGGACTGGAGTGAGAGTTCATCAGGCAGGCTGACTTTGCTTGCTGGTTGCATGTTGGCTAGATTGGCCTGTGGTTTGTTTTGCTGATGGAGTTGCTGATTTGGCCTGCAGCTTGCTCTGCTGCTGGAAATATCAGAGCAAAAACTGACCTACAGTGGTGTGAAAAAGTGTTTGCCCCCTTACTGATTTCTTATCTTTTTGCATGTTTGTCACACTGTAATGTTTCAGATCGTCAAACAAAGTTATATATTAGTCAAAGATAACACAAGTAAACACATCATGCAGTTTTTAAATGAAGGTTTTTATTATTAAGGGAAAACATTATCAGATGATGAAGATCAATCTCCTATCGGTACCTTCTGCTGCCTGCTCCATTCAGGAGAGTTTCCACACCCTTGCTGCTATGTAACAAGCAACATTCTAACATAGCCAAATGGAACACAGCCAAACAAACAGAGACTGACACACCCCAACGCCCAATTTCTTTTGGAATATGACTAAAACTAAGAAATATATTTTACCTTTAAAAAACATGATTTCAGCTCTCTAGATGCACATTTATCAAAGCTGCATTCAAATGCTTATGCCTCATAAAACATAACAAAATTACATCATATATAGCTACTAAATATTGAAAAGTGTGGTAAGATGTGGCCAGCAGATGATCCGACTTTAAATTAAGTCTTTGCTTTCCTTTCTGCTCACTGTAGTTAGACATGAGTACAAAAACATAAAAATCAGCAGGAGAAATTTTGCTGGGCAGCACCTCCCAAACATGTATTGATAGGTCAACACAAGATTGCCTGCAGAACCCTCCCTTAGAACAACCCATCACTGTCTGTCCTTCCTGAATTCAGATTTATAGGTTCAAAACTACCCACAGCTTTACTAATATAACCCATATTAACATTTCCCCCCATGGTGTCATCCTCCCAGAACGAGGGTTTGATTGGGTTTAATCATTTGCTGTAAGAGGAGTGCTCACAGGCTTCCATGTTCAAATGTGTTAGCAGATGACAGACAGTGGGTGTAAATGGAAATAGCAATGTGGAGACTAAAGTTAATGGGAGCCACATTGATCTGACATGACAAAAACAACGTAGCAGGACAAAGATACACATAATCAGTAGGTCAGATCCAAACTGAAACCTTCAGTGTACAGTGGGAGATGTGTCTTTTCCACACTGATGGAATTTTGAAGTGTTGACAACAAAACTCCATATCCCTCTCTGTTTCTTTCAGCCAAGCTGAGATCTCTGATCCCAAAAATATTTTAGATAATCATGCAGTAAACTGCTTCAAAATACATGACCTCATGTTATAGCAGGTGTTTTGATGACAAAGGTAGAGTTTCCCTGATCATGTTTCTACCTGCAGTCATTGTTTTCACATTCCAGCAACAGAGTTCTCGTTAAACTTTCCCACCCTTCCTTAAACTTACAGTGGTGTGAAAACGTGTTTGCCCCCTTACTGATTTCTTATCTTTTTGCATGTTTGTCATACTGTAATGTTTCAGATCATCAAACAAATTTAAATATTAGTCAACGATAACACAAGTAAACACATCATGCAGTTTTTAAATGAAGGTTTTTATTATTAAGGGAAAACAAAATCCAAAACTACAAAGCCCTGTGTGAATAAGTGTTTGCCCCCTAAACCTAATAACTGGTTGGGCCACCCTTAGCAGCAACAACTGCAATCAAGCGTTTTCGATAACTTGCCATGAGTCTTTTACAGCGCTGTGGAGGAATTTTGGCCCACTCATCTTTGCAGAATTGTTGTAAGTCAGCCACATTGGAGGGTTTTCGGGCATGAACTGCCTTTTTAAGGTCATGCCACAGCATCTCAATTGGATTCAGGTCAGGACTTTGACTAGGCCACTCCAAAGTCTTCATTTTGTTTTTCTTCAGCCATTCAGAAGTGGACTTGCTGGTGTGCTTTGGATCATTGTCCTGCTGCAGAACCCAAGTTCGCTTCAGCTTGAGGTCACAAACGGATGGCCGGACATTCTCCTTCAGGATATTTTGGTACACAGCAGAATTCATGGTTCCATTTATCACAGCAAGTCTTCCAGGGCCTGAAGCAGCAAAACAGCCCCAGACCATCCCACTACCACCACCATATTTTACTGTTGGTATGATGTTCTTTTTCTGAAATGCGGTGTTACTTTTACGCCACACATAATGGGACACACACCTTCCAAAAAGTTCAACTTTTGTCTCGTCTGTCCACAGAGTATTATCCCAAAAGTCTTGGGGATCATCAAGATGTTTTCTGGCAAAACTGAGACGAGCCTTTATGTTCTTTTTGCTCAGCAGTGGTTTTCGTCTTGGAACTCTGCCATGCAAACCATTTTTGCCCAGTCTCTTTCTTATGGTGGAGTCATGAACACTCAGCTTAACTGAGGCAAGTGAGGCCTGCAGTTCTTTGGATGTTGTTGTGGGGTCTTTTGTGACCTCTTGGATGAGTTGTCGCTGCGCTCTTGGGGTAATTTTGGTCGGCTGGCCACTCCTGGGAAGGTTCTCCACTGTTCCATGTTTTCGCCATTTGTGGATAATGGCTCTCACTGTGGTTCGCTGCAGTCCCCAAGCTTTAGAAATGGCTTTATAACCTTTTCCGGACTGATAGAGCTCCATTATTCTCTTTCTCATTTGTTTTTGAATTTCTTTGGATCTCGGCATGATGTCTAGCTTTTGAGGATCTTTTGGTCTACTTCACTTTGTCAGGCAGGTCCTATTTAAGTGATTTCTTGATTGCGAACAGGTGTGGCAAGAGAAATTGAACTCAGGTGCGATAAACCAGTGTTTTGACAGGGGGGCAAACACTTGTTCACACAGGGCTCTATAGTTTTGGATTTTGTTTTCCCTTAATAATAAAAACCTTCATTTAAAAACTGCATGATGTGTTTACTTGTGTTATCTTTGACTAATATATAAATTTGTTTGACGATCTGAAACATTACAGTGTGACAAACATGCAAAAAGATAAGAAATCAGTAAGGGGGCAAACACTTTTCCACACCACTGTATATTACCCGCTCAGTCACCTGATACAATCCTGAAAGCAATTGTTGGGCTGGTTTGTTAATAAGGATAATAATAATAATAATATAAGGATAATCACCTTTATTTGGCCAAGTATGTTACACACAAGGAATTTGTTTCCGGTACAGAACCAAGGCAGCCATCTGCGGCACCAACTCAATCAATGGCTCTAACCATCAGGGGCAACTTGGGGGTTCAGTGTCTTGCCCAAAGACACTTCAACACGTGGACTGCAGGCACCAAGATTCGAACCTCCGAGATCATATAGATTATCTATGACTTCGTTCTCCACTTTTTTACTTGCTCAGGAAATGTTCAGACAAATCTCAGTCCTCTGATAGAAAGCTTTGATACTCTTGCTGACTAAGAATAAATCTGGCTTTGGACTATTACATCTTAATGCTCATAGTCTAGTTTTAAAACTAGATTTTGTATGCATTTGGGCCCAAAGAACAGATACTGATATTATTGTAGTTTCTTAAACCTAGCTTTTGAAATCACTTTTGGACACAGATATCTATATTCCAGATTATAATGTGTTTTGTGCCAATCGGTTTAGGAAAGGAAGTGGAATAGCCATTTATATGAAAAGTATGTCCTCCTGTGGGCCCACCACCTGCAGGAGGATCCGTAAGGGGCTGGTGCACAGTGGATCGGGCAGTGGTCGAAGGCAAGGTCCCCGACGACCCGATCTCTGGACACAGAGACTAGCCCTGGGGACATGGAATGCCACCTCACTGGTGAGGAAGGAGCCCAAGCTTGTGCGGGAGGTTGAGAGGTACCTGCTAGAGATAGTCAGGCTCGCCTCCATGCACAGCTTGGACTCTGGAACCTTACTCCTTGAGAGAGGCTGGACTCTCTACTACTCTGGAGTTGCCCACGGTCAGAAGCGGCGGGTGTGGGCCTGCTTATAGCCCCCCAGCTTAGCCACCATGTGTTTGAGTTTACCCCGGTGAACGAGAGGGTCGTTTTCCTGCGCCTTCGGGTTGGGGATAGGTCTATCACTGTCGTTTGTGCCTATGGGCCGAATGGCAGTGCAGAGTACCCAGCTTTCTTGGAGTCTCTGGGATGGGAGCTGGAAAACGCTCCGACTGTGGACTCCGTCATTCTATTGGGGGACTTCAACGCTCACATAGACGACGATGGTGGCACCTGGAGGGGCGTGATTAGGAAGAACGGCCCCCCTGATCTGAACCCGAGCGGTGTTCCGTTATTGGATTTCTGTGCCAGTCACAGTTTGTCCATAACGAACACCATGTTCAAGCATAAGGGTGTCCATCAGTGCACATGGCACCAGGACACCCTAGGCCGGAGGTCGATGATCGACTTTGTGGTTGTTTCATCTGACCTCCGGCCGTATGTCTTGGACACTCGGGTGAAGAGAGGGGCGGAGCTGTCAACTGATCACCACCTGGTGGTGAGCTGGATCTGATGGCGGGGGAGGAAGCTGGACAGACTCGGCAGACCCAAAACGTATTGTGAGGGTCTGTTGGGAACGTTTAGCAGAATCCCCTGTCAGAGAGATCTTCAACTCCCGCCTCCGGCAGAGCTTTGACCAGATCCCAGGGGAGGCTGGAGATATTAAGTCTGAGTGGACCATATTCTCCACCTCCATTGTCGATGCGGCTGTTCGGAGCTGTGGCCGTAAGGTCTCTGGTGCCTGTCGCAGCGGCAATCCCTGAACCCGGTGGTGGACACCAGAAGTAAGGGATGCCATCAAGCTGAAGAAGGAGACCTTTTGAGCCTGGTTGGCTCGTGGGACTCCCGAGGCAACTGACAAGTACCGGGAGGCCAAGCGGACTGCAGCCTGGGTGGTTGTGGAGGCGCCTTCCTAGGCAGGTGTTCTGGGCATGTCCCACCGGGAGGAGGCCCCGGGGGAGACCTAACTGGAGGGACTATGTGTCTCGACTGGCCTCGGAAGGCCTTGGCATTCCCCCGGAGGCGCTGGAGGAAGTGTCTGGAGAGAGGGAAGTCTGGGCATCTCTGCCTAGACTGCTGCCCCCGCGACCTGGTTCCAAAAATTGGAACATCTTGCAGAAAGATGGCTAAAATGGCTAATCTGGTTTCTCTCACTGAATTTAAGACCATGATTCAGTCATTGGTATCTGCGTCTTATTCAAGGTGCTTTTGTAACTTTTAAATGATTTGTATGCGCCTGTTATGTTTTTAGCTGTTTTGTAACAATTTTATGTTCTGTTATCTTGGCCAGATCCTCCTTGAAAAAGAGGTTTTTAATCTCAATGTGTTTTTTTTACCTGGTAAAATAGAGGTTAAAAAATTACCTGTTGGCACATGTGTGAAGCGATGGAGATCCTGAATAGATAGGGAGAAATGGAGAGAGTGGGTAAGTTCTTGTTCATTCTAACACTTTCTACTCTTAGTAAGTGCTTTTTTGTCTATGCTGATCAGTGTGCTCTCATTGTTCCCATTTAGAAACAATGATGAGCAGAGTAATATTAAATACAAGCACTGTGTGTGTGTGTGTGTGTGTGTGTGTGTGTGTGTGCATGCTTATATAGCCATACATTGTAAGCTTTTTATACCGTAGTAATAAGGACATTTTGTGAAAGTGAGAACATTTGGGCCAGTTCTCACTTTCTGACAATTTCAAAGGGCTATTTGAAGGTTAAAACTTGGTAATAGGGTTCAGGTTAGAATTAGATTTAGGCAGGGGTTAATTTGTGCCGAAACAAGCCAGATCCGGATCCAGCACCTCTTCAAATTCTGCCTGGCACCTATTTTGACAGACCCGGCACCTCATTTACATATGAAAGAAAGGTAATATATGAATGATATGTAAAATACATTTTGTAAAACTAGTTTAATATGCTGTTATAAAAGGCTAAAGTGAGAATAATTAAATACAATAAAAACATGCAGTTAGGCTAATTATGACAGAATGTAACCAGCCCATGCAGGTCACACTTGGTCAAGTGCACATTCAGTGTAACGTTATGTGAACAAAATTGCAAAAAAGACAAATTTGCTTAAGTATTTCAAGTCACAGCAGGGCAATACTAGTCAGAAATGAGACGCTAAACAGGCCAGTTGTAAAGCCAGTCTGATGCGTAGGTCATGGATTTCAAATGGACATGAAGCAAAACACAGAATAACATGAAAGTGGACTTCTGCCCCAGGACTGCATTATGGGCAGTTTTAAAAAGTAAGGTAAGAACAGGTTTATTTAATGTTACTGCATTATATAGTCTCTGTAATATTCTGAATATAATATTAATGTTTAATAAAACACTAATATGATGTCCCTCTTGCTAGTGATTGAATGGATTAGAGGACGTGGCCTCACAGTCCTAATGTATTTAACATCAATAGCGCTTGAGATTTACAACTCACATATGCAAATGCTCGTCTTGTGTGACTAAATGTTTGCTACAAATACATAACATATAATGTTTCCCTCTTAATGTGGAAACTACGCAAACGCATGGGTGACTGAGAAAACGTTTTTCATTCTGGGACCTCCTCTGCCCACACTGACATGCCGGGTCTGTCACCAAGTGAGATTATTTTGGGACCTCATAATTTACAAATTAAGCATTGGATTTAAGACTACGTTCACACTGCAGGCTGAAGTGGCCCAAATCCGATCTTTTTGCCCAAATATGACCCATATCCGATTTCCTTATGACAGTGTGAACAGCACAAATCCGATTTTTTTCAAATCAGGCCCAGGCCACTTTCATATGTGGTCCTAAATTGGATACATATCCGATGTTTTGCAATGCGACAGTCTGAATGGCTATGTCGCATTTCATGCGATTTTTATGTCATTGAAATGCGACAGACGTCACAATTCTGCGCTGGAGGAGGCGAGGCCATAAGCAATATTTGTGCTCTCCTTCTTCTTCTTGATGTTCTTATTATTTCTTTATTTCCATTGCACATCAACTGGTACATCGCTACGTACATGCTATCACGAGCCGCATCCATTTTTATTTTCGCAAACACAGTATGCTGCGTCTGACGTCAGGTCCTCTTGTGTGCATGCGGGTCACCTCAGGGCCGTATATCGTTCACACATGAGACAGATGGCAGTCGCATTTAAATGACAGTGTGAACAACAGTGCAAAAAAATTGGATTTCGGCAAAAAAATTGGATCCGAGCATTAAGACCAGCAGTGTGAACGTAGTCTAAGTTAGGGTAAGGGGCTAGGGAATGCATCATATTATCATGTCCTCACAAGATAGCTGTAAATATATATATGTGTCACCTTGAAGAACCTCCACTCAGTGTACTGGTTCCGGTCACAGTGTGTAATAATGACAGCTGAGTTATCAGCTCCTCTGGTCAGGCACTGGTCATACTGCATCAACTGGTTGGCTTCATTGATGCGGAACAACTACACATATGTGCACACAAAAAGTTGTTTCCATCACTTCACAGTACATAACTCTGACTTAACCTAACTTTAACCATGGTCAGTACTTAACACTAACCTTAAACCAAGTCTTCACCCTAAAACATAATGTTTTACATTTTGGGGTCTTGCCTTTTGTACCCAACAGGAAGCAAGTCCCCACAAAGTGACTGGGTAAACATAATTTTACATTGGTGATAAAGGAAAAGAAAAGTACGTAAAAATCATTATCAACTGTCATTGTAAATTGTTGGGCCACCATGTGTCACCAGAACAGCGTCATTGCACCTTGGCACCTTGATTCTACAAGTCTCTTGAGGGATGAACACCATTCTTCCAAAAGATATTCCCTCATTTGGTATTTTGATTATGGTGGTGGAGACTAGTGCTGTCTGAAAAACTCTGATTTAGTTAATGAGTTGAGAGAAACAAAATTTTCATTCACGGAGTTGTTGTGAAGCCACTCCTTCGTTATTTTAGCTGTGTGCTTAGGGTCACTGTCTTGTTGGAAGGTGAACCTTCGGTCCAGTCTGAGGTCCTGAGCACTCTGGAGAAGGTTTTCGTCCAGGATATCCCTGTACTTGGCTGCATTCATCCTTCCCTTGATTGCAACCAGTCGTCCTGTCCCTGCAGCTGAAAAACACCCCCATAGCATGATGCTGCCACCACCATGCTTCACTGTTGGGACTGTATTGGACAGGTGATGAGCAGTGCCTGGTTTTCTCCACACATACCGCTTAGAAAGCCCCGACTGGTGGAGGGCTGCAGTGATGGTTGACTTTCTACAACTTTCTCCCGACTGCATCTCTGGAGCTCAGCCACAGTCATCTTTGGGTTCTTCTGTACCTCTCTCACCAAGGCTCTTCTCCCCCGATAGCTCAGTTTGGCCGGATGGCCAGCTCTAGGAAGGGTTCTGGTCGTCCCAAATGTCTTCCATTTAAGGATTAT